GTCACAAGCATTTCGTCGATATACGTTTTCATCGTAATCGCTTCGCACCTGTGCGATTTCCTCATCCCCTTCGGACCACGTCTTGCAACTGTCTACCTTCTAACTAGATAACCGGCATGCCTGTATCTCTGAGATCATCGAAGATGTGTGTGTCTGTATTCCGACGACCACTCTGTCTCGTAAGTAAAATTTCTCGAGTTAATTGTGATTTCGGCATTTCCAAACAACTTAAACATTCTAAAAGTTAATGAATTTTATAAACGTTGCTTTTTACACGTCTGTCACGGGATACAGTCGTTACAGAAAATGAAACGGAGTGGTATTTTCTATTAATATATGTATAAGATCTTCTTGATGTATACAGTGGTAGAACGTATCTTTTTATATATTGAATATAAATTAAATATTATCTTATAATTTCAGGTATCAAAATAGGAAAAAAAGTAAAACGAAAAGATTTAGAGAGTTATTGTACCCAGAAAAATTTTATTAAAAGACATGGCAACAAAAGAACACAGATTGATGGAAAGGAAACGGCGAAAACGTCACAAATACCTTTATAAATAAGAGTTAAACTAGTATTGTGTTCAACATTTCATAAAGATACATATCTCTACTAAAATTAAGTCTATAACTCATAGGCATAAAGTAAAACACACTAAAAATCCAAATCGACTATGGTTGATCAAGGTTTTGTGTTTTACCTGCAAAGGGATTATTATGATATTGTATGTGTTATATGAAGAAAATTACATTTCTTCGAAATGCAGTTTTGTAATGAATGACACTACGCACTTACTAAAGTTTTCAGTCGGGATATATGTACTTCCCAATAAAATAAAATAAAAATAGAAAAAATCCTCTTAGTGAGTTTTTCCTTTGTTTTAAAGTTGATAACCTATGATTAATTCTATTTTATGAATAATATAATATTAAAAAATTATATTGATTTGAAGAAATGTGACAGAGTAGTATTAAGTTCCTTATTTTTCTGATTTAAGAAATGTGATCGCAGCAATAAATATATTGTCAAATAGAAGTATTAGTTTTCTTGTTTTAGGCATAACAATAATTTAGAACGAAGTTTTTGTATGACTATAAAAAACAAAGCACTTTTGTGACCGAGATACTACATTTTTGCTACCATACACAGAAAATGTGAAATGTTATGTAGGTATTTGCGGTACAAATTATTTATAATTGCATAATTATTAGACAGTAAAATACAATTGTATACATAACAAAAGTACTCGTCACAAAGTGCATTAATACGGAAAATAATTCTTAATAAAGATAGAGCTAATATAGAGCAGTTAGCTGTAGCGCCTATTAACCAACCCAAAAACAAATAAATATACTTACGTACAATGTGTAAATGTGTAAATGTGTGTACTTATTTGCAAATGACTAACTAACCTATAGAGACTATAATTTTGTTGTTTGTAACAGATAGTCTAGATGACACCAAAGTTTACATGTGTATACCCCAATATCGAGTTCGTAGATTTTCACAATTGTTACACATAGGGAATGGAACAAAACAAAAAATTAAGGCGTTTTAGGTCCCAAAAAATAGTTTCATACCCCAATATTTCTGTGTGTGTATTTGGCGTCACAAAAATTACGTCATGAGTAAAATGTTCCAAAATAATAATGCAATGTCGAATTTATAGAATACGTTACTAGTCAATATTTTCTAACTATTTAAATGCTCGAGCTTTTACTAGACTGTCATTGTAATGAACCAACAAACAATAATATGACATTATTATCAAATACAGATGTTGTTTTTATTAAATAAATAAATAATAAATAAATAAAAACGTTTTATTCTTCAACACTACAAAGATACAAAAAAAGCTTAAAATAGTGGGTTAAAATAAATGGCTGTGTCGAAGAAAAGGTAACAATTTGGTGGCCTTAGCAATTTGGTGGTTTTCAGCCTTTACCTTGTATCTTAATAAATAGCACCTACTTCAAAAATTCATATTGTCATTATTATTATTATATTGTGAAATAAGTTGTCTTTCGAAAAATCTGAATCAAAATTTGTGAAAGTTACTTACGGTCACGGAATAATTTGTTTCGTCTGTGGCTCCAATGATACTAATTATCGCTACTCAACGGTAGATGGCGCTTCTAGTCTCAAAAAGCGTCTTTATAGTACTTATTAAAACTCAGCTATCTGTTCCAGACCCTACAAGTTCCGGACAAAATTAGCAGCATCAGCGTTGGTATTAATAGTCGTGGTCGCCGCACTAGCCGGATACTTCATAGGCAGCGCTGATAAAGCTCGGAGAAACGCAGAGCCACCAGATCCAATACAGCACCTTCCGCCTTCGCCATCTAAACTGCATTTATTCGAAAAAGCGGCTGTGTGTACAGATGCCCCACAGTGCTCAGATATTGGCAGGTAAGATATTGCTTACTAACGAGATAATGCTTCCAACATCTTGTGATTCCTTTTTACAAATGAGATCACGTCATGTAAACTCATACCTAAGTGTATAATTAAACTTGGAACGTCTATTATATTAAATTAAACGTTAATATAGGTAAAAAAATACATATACATTAGGTTAGATATTTAGACTGTAATGTACTAAAAGCGATTAATCACCATAACGAAAGAAATCGAATCTGCGTGCAATCTCAAAGTAACCGCCTGGATTTGAATACGTTTGGTATGAGACTTGACAATAGGCAAAAAGTTCGTCAGATGAGCTGCAGAGTGACGACGCGTATGTGCAACTGTATCTCATTTGGAGTAAAGGAGCAGACATTCAAACGATATTTGTGTTGCAAAAACGAGCGATTCGTTCTGTGTAGGAACCGTTTAGGTTCTCAGGTTTCTCTCAAAGAAAAGTTTAAGGAGACTGGTGTCATGACTGTGACATCGCAGTACATGTACTGAAATATTTTATATGCCCGTAAAAATATGCATAATTTCAATAAGAAAGAAGATAACAATAACATTAACCTTAGAGTTAAGTCCAAACTCAAGGTACCACTATTTCGTTTTACCAAGGTATAGGACTTTTTTACAGGGAACTGTATACGTTTTTACAATAAGATTCCGAAGCATATATTAAGATTATCATTTCCTAAGTTAAAAACTCCATTAAAAATATTTTGATTGAAAAAGTCATATTACAAAATTGAAGACTACGTGTTAGATAAATGGAAAGACGACATGGCTCTAGATTCCACACAAATTTGATTCAAAGGTATTCCATAGCATTTAAGTTTATTTGAGCAATCCCTAGAGTTCTTGCTCGTTCTTCTCAGGGAAGTCAGCGTAGTGAACGAGCATTAGCTTAATTGTGACGTTTGCAAATGTAAAATTATTTTACCTATGGAATAAATAATTCTTTGACTTTGATCGCCAAATTTAAAGATACATGGTAGGGCTTTAAGTCTCTCTAAAAAAAAGAAAAATTTGAATTAAGTGCAACGAGGTACCTATTTATTCATAATTTATTTGACAATAATCAGTCCTTTAAATACATTCAATGATAATTTTTTACTAAGCCCAATATCGCTGGCAATTTATAAAATGTAGGATATGAATATCTATACAAATGAACATGCAAAGCCGATTAGCGATAATAACGCAAAAACATAAACAATTATTACAAATTGTATGATTAACCAACCAACAGGTAAAGGTGATTAAATTTCGTAGTAAACAGGATTATGTTTGCAAGTATCTATGTTCCATATTATGAAGTTCTAATTCATTTGTACATACCACACATTTAGCTGTAGCTTTCAATAGGTGCGTTGACGAAGGTGTTTTTCCCGATTTAATGAAATACAGCAAGGTTATTCCCTTATTCAAAAGCGGTGGGAAAGTTGATCCTAGCAACTATAGGCCCATTTCAATTTTACCAGCTTTAAGTAAAATATTCGAAAAGGTTATGCTAACTCAATTACTGTCCTATTTCGGTAGGAATCATATTTTTCATAGTGAACAATACGGGTTTACTAGTGGTAGATCGACTAGCGATGCGGGGGTAGCGTTACTGAAACACATCTTTGATGCTTGGGAAAGGTCCCAGAACGCTATTGGTGTTTTCTGTGACCTCTCAAAGGCATTTGATTGCGTTGATCATAATACTCTTATTAGGAAGCTGGAACATTACGGTGTAAATGGCAAGGCGTCGAAACTTGTCTCGTCATATCTCAACGGTAGAATTCAGAAAGTAGACATAAATGGAGTGACTTCTTTGGGTTCTCCAGTAAAAATGGGTGTTCCGCAGGGCTCAATACTTGGACCTTTCTTATTTCTGATTTATATTAATGATCTGCCATTCTTTGTTAAGGACCATTGCGAAATAGTGTTGTTTGCTGATGACACATCCTTGATTTTTAAAACAGACAGACATGACAATAACTATGACCGTATTAATGATACCCTCTCTAAGGTAGTTTATTGGTTTAATGCTAACAATTTATTGCTTAATGCCAAGAAGACAAAATGTGTTAAATTTGAATTACCTAACGTAAAATCGACTAGTCCAACCATAGAAATAAACGGAGAAAAGTTAGACCTTGTTAATAAAGCAGTCTTCTTGGGAGTGACCTTAGATAGTAAACTTCAGTGGTTTCCACATATATCGTGCCTGGCCAGCAGATTAAGCTCCGCTGCATACGCAGTCCGCAGAATACGTGAGCTTACCGATGTTAGTACTGCTAGACTAGTTTACTTTAGTTACTTCCATAGTATAATGTCCTACGGGATTCTCATGTGGGGTAAAGCGGCGGATATTCAAACCATATTTGTATTGCAAAAACGAGCGATTCGTTCTGTGTACCGTCTAGGCTCTCGGGTATCTCTCAGAGAAAAGTTTAAGGAGACTGGTATCATGACTGTGGCATCACAGTACATTTACTCAAATATTTTATATGCCCGTAAAAATATACATAATTTCAATAAGAAAGAAGATATCCATAATATTAACCTTAGAGCTAAGTCCAAACTCATGGTACCACGATTTCGTTTAACCAAGGTAAACAACTCTTTTATGGGGAACTGTATACGTTTTTACAATAAGATTCCGGAGCATATATTAAGTTTATCATTTCCTAAGTTTAGAAACTACATTAAAAATATTTTGATCGAAAAATCATATTACAAAATTGAAGACTACGTGTTAGATAAAGACGTATGGAAAGACGACATGGCTCCAGAATCCACACAAATTTGATTCAAAGTGTATTCCATAGCATTTAAGTTTATTTGAAAAGAGCAATCCCTAGAGTTTCTTGCTCGTTCTTCTCAGGGAGGTCAGCGTAGTGAACGAGCAGTAGCTTAAATGTGACGTTTTCAAGTGTAAATTTATTTTACCTATGGAATAAATAATCTTTGACTTTGACTTTGACTTTGATACAATCATAGTAACTTGTAATGGATCAAAAAGTGCAGAAGAAAATTGTGAACGCGTGGCAAATGTTATAGGAATTTAAATACATACAGATTGTAATGTACTGTAGAGATCGCATTTCGCTCTACATCTTTTTGCGTTCAGACCAGCCGACCATACGTTTGTTCTACAGATTTTGAAACAAATATTGTTCGTTTTAGCTATCGTTATTAGGTGCATTTGTGGCATTGCTGTCAGTGCTGACTAACAATCTAACGCATTTGCAGGGCCCATATTAACTCGTCGACTTTTACCGTTTTTCCATCCTATAAGACTTTTACTCATTTAAGAAAAATGCAAAAACTATTTTCCATGCAATGTTGACCGCTAATTTTCAATGAAATAAAGGTTTTAATTGCAAATTAGCCTTTGAAACAAAAGAGTTGAACGTCGTATATTTAACATTTAATGCTTTGTTCAAAACAAAAATCAATAAAATTCCTATTTTTTTGTTAATTTTTATTTCCAGCCTCCGGGGACCAATGGTTAACAAACTGGACTGCTTTGCAGAGGTTCCAGGTTCGATTCCCGGGCTGGGAGAAATATTTGTACGGCCTACATTTATTTCTCTCGTAAGTTTGGGTGTAATTGGTGTTTGTGGTGGTAAATTAATGTGTGGTTTGCGTTATTATTATTATTACATAATTTGGAATTTATGAAAAAAAATCAGAATAAACTCAACAGTGATCAACGATATCTATATATTTTTTTAATCAAGTCATATTAGCAAATTACTAGTCGTTCACTGTAACATGATGTGACTAATGGGAACTCATATTCACTAATTTATAATTATAATTCATATTAATTCATATTAATTCATCATACACTAAGAAATATCTGCATCTGATGCACGAAATCACCGACAAGATGGGATGTGACTTCCTTTGAAATAATACCAATTCCATGGAAGTAATGTCACAAAAAATAATTGAATATCGTGGTGGTGAAACATCCTGACATTCAAAAAAACACTTAATAATACCAATTTTTTTAGTCCAGAGAGGGTTAATTCCAGCCAACCATAATAACAACTTGAAACTGTTGGATTTCTGTGGCACTCGTATCGTTCGCGGTTCTGGAACCTGAATCCTTAACCGCAGCCGACTGTGAAATTGCCAGAAAATACCGACTTTTAAAAATTCAAAATTTATCTTTTAGTCCTTGGGAGAGTCATCCGGAATAATATATTCTTGAATTTTTTGTTTATAGGCCATGGAAGAGACAGGAGGCTCAAATATACATACGAAATATATTTTTTTAATTTGATATTTCTGCCGTGCTTACGATAAGAACAGTAAGTCTATATTATGTATTTCAAACATACTTACTATTAATACCTTTTGGAATCACGGCAGATTGTAGGCCATTGCAGAGACACCATACAGCCTCTTCATAAAAATTATCTCCTTCCTTTGGGGAGACGAATCCAAAATAAATAAATTCGAAATAATAATAATAACTTTTTAAATTCTTACTTGTATAGGTGGGAGAGGCGAGAGTCTAAAATATAATAAAATTGTTGTTGGTTTGTTTGAAAACGTAGATTAACGCGATAAATAGTTTAGTACTAATAGTTTCATTTCCTATGTGTGACAATCGCAAAAAATATGAACTCAATAATATATTATTTTTTATTCAAAATTTATAGGCCAGAGTCTAAAATAGAGATCCGAAACAATAATAATGTGGCAAGTAACCACACCAATTACCTGGTCAAACTAGGGAATTCACTATGTTGTATAAAACAAAAAAGTTGTAGTGAAACGGTTAGGACAAACATTAGGTTGCTACAGTTGCAGTTTAAATGAAATGTATCTATCGACTGTATGCAATTTTCAGTATTTGACATATCATGTATCATCAGATAATTTAACATCATTATCTTTGAAAATGAAGGGCATAAAAAACAAAAAATACAAAGATATAAAGTTTTTGTAAACATATATTACGCAACCAAATCAACAAGTATATTTATTTTCGTTTCTTCGGCTAGACGCTGTGACTTTTAAAGCTGCTGTATATTTCGTGGAGGCGCTTTTTCCCTTTAGATTTATTTATTATTTGTCACTAAGTGGACAGGCGTGTTGCTTTCCACCAGGCGCAAGACTTGTTCGTCTTGTCACTTGGTAACCTTAAAAAAAGTGCTATCAAACTAAAATTACTGTGATAGCGAAGAGACTGTCAAGAATTAGCGAATATTCTTTTACGTTTTCCAATGTAACTGTAGCTATTTTTTCTTATCACCCAGATAAGATGCTCTGTAATTGAAAGATGAATGCATTAATAACAAAATAGAAAACATCTTTTAAAATAGCTACAACAGGTTACGATAGCATCCATCCTAGCAAGAAGCAAACTTCCTCCGTGGCTGAACGGTTATCATACTGGACTGGCACTCAAGAGGTCTCGGGTTCGATTACCGAGACGGGAGAAATATTTGTATGGCCTACATTTATTTGTCACGTAAGTTTGGGCGTAATTTCTACCTGTGTGTGTCCATGTCACCCGCGACACAGGGTCTCCCTAGTGCGGGGCTATGAGTGTGTACATTGTTTATTTTTATTTTATCGATGTAGATGTAAAAGGATTGGTAAATTCTAAGCTCTGATAAATATACACTTCATAGATTGTCCAACTTTTCAACCTTTCAAAAAAGATCACACAGCGCTATTGTCGCTTGAAGCGAATTAACTTGAGTCAGAACGACACAGCAACAATGTTTGTACACGGCGACTATAGTTGACGTTCTGGGTCGAAATGTTGCCAATGATGTTGAATTCTCCTTAGTTTTATTTTTATTGTATAAGGAATTTAGTTATGCGAAATTGATCAATACAGTTATTTATTTTGTCATGTGTAAAACTACAAAAAATAATAAGTATGTAATGTACTTTCTACTTTCAAGCTTATCATAGCAAGGGTAAATTTCTAAATTTTTTTCTCTGACAATGTCTTGCGTGATAAAAATATTACAAAAAGAGCAAACACGATTACTGCATACAAAATTCTCCGGAATATTCTAGAAACTTAGTAATAGACAAGGCAAAGAGTACTTCGGTTGTTGCTGTCTCTTCCCCACTTATTCGCGTTATAAAGTGAGGGGCTTTTGAATTCTGCGCTGGTATAACAAGCCGGCTTACGCACACGTAGACACGGCTATAAATAAACAAACTCCTTCATAACCGGGTCGCGCACTCACCGTTTCCACCAATCGCGTTTCGAGAACGTTATCGACGCGCATGCGGTCAGTGACGTGTCGTTCAGTGGGTATATAAACCGCACGCCAACTAGCAAACTAAACAGTCACACAAAATCTGAAGTATCGTTGTCATCGCGACAAATCACTAGTTTTCCACAACCACAATCAATATGTCCGAGGCTTTCTTTGACGAATACGATTACTACAACTTCGATCACGATAAGCACATTTTTACCGGACACGGTGGAAAACAGCGCACCAAGAAGGAAGTGAACGAACACACCAACCATTTCGACCCCTCCGGCCACTCCAGAAAGATCGTCACCAAACTCGTCAACACAGAGAATAACAAGAAAGCGAATAAACACTAGTTAAAGCAATGAATCTCGACCGAGGCGTGTAGAAGGATTTTGAGATTTGCCTAGCGGAAGGACGTTGTGGCGACTACCCGAAGAGAGAAAGGGGAGCTCGTTACAGAGATCAATGGAACATTCGAGGCGGTTTTTGGTGACACAGAGCTTGTACTGGGCGAACTACCATAACGAACAGCTTAACCGAACGTGACCACGTGCGCACAACTGGTGACCAACCGACTATACTCTCACTTCATGGATTCAACACCGTTCCAGCAACTGATCTCAATTCTTAATGGGCTTGTTCTAGAGCCCAAAATTAGCTGTGTTATTAATTCCTAATTAGATTATTACGTTTAATTCTGTATCTTTACTGAGGTACTCAAAGGACTGTAATAATAATTTAAAGTTACTTTAATAAAACGAAAATGGTATTGAAGGTGTTGTTTAATTTCCTTTATCAAACGTTATTGCTGCCGGAAAACTGGCGAGGCCGATGACTGCACAGTTGTGTGCTTTGTATTTGTATAATGTAGTCTGCCCACGTACGTGTCGATGCCGTGTTTATACACAAAAACAACCTTGGTCGACGGCGCGCGCGATACTGGCCTTGTAACATTATTATCGGCTCGGTACCGCCAGTTTTTACTGCGCAGTTATAAAAACGACCTGTTAATTATCGATGACATTTACTGGTAATGCAGACCTGATCTATCGTCACGTTTCAACAAATTCGTTACAATACCCACAATACATAACATCGAGTTAACATTATCATCACGATGACAATCAGACCAAATATTCGTAATCAAGATATTCATTACATTATAAAATGAATTCGCTCCAGTCACAACAATTAACAATGGAATGCCTATACCTACCTACTCAGAATACACCAATTAATTATTTTTACAATTTCTACATAAGGCTTCATCACATAGGTAATATCACAGCCTTGCTGTAATAAGGCTACATCTGTCAAATAACAACCAGTTTTTAAATTGTACGAACGACATTAATCGTTAATTTTATAAGCTTATGTATTAATTTTTTATGATTATGATTATTTATTAATAGGAAAGTTATAAAATTTCACGTACCTGTACATAACTTGTTTCATGTAGCTCGTATTATTTTTATGACTTTCATGTGATAAAAGCACTTTTGCGTATTATTTTATTATATAATCATAAATTTAAATTAACTAATTAATTATTTCAAAATAAAAAAAAAGTTTATTTCTCTAAACAATAAAAACTAAACATTTTTTTCTCCGAAACAATCAGCTTTTCAAGAAATTACATAAGAATAAAAGTTATCAGGAATGTTATTCTTTATCATATGAAAAAAATCAGCTCTGTATTCCTAAAATTGTTCCCATGATTAAATAATAATTGATAATTCTTGGACATAGGAATAACTTGTGGAGTACCGACCTAAATTTTTTTATGTGATAGATAATAACGTTTCTAACAACTTTTATTCTTGTATAATTTCTTGAAAAGTTGATAGTTTCAGAGAAAAAATATTTTTTTTTGTGGAGAAATGTACATTTTATTTTTTATCTCTAATGTAGGAAAATGTAATGTGTGTGGTTTATTTACAGTATAGGTCTAATCATTATATATAAAAAAAATCCATCTGCAGGTACTTGCGGCTTTACGAGTAAAAAGGTGTCAAAATTTTTAATTTGTTTTTTATTTTTTAACACAATATACTAGGTTCTACTTAACTTTCGTGTTATTGTTATAACACTCTCTAAATTACACTAAAATATTTTTTTTTTTTAGTTGTATTTTGTTAAAAAGGTACATAAAAGAGTTAGCGATTTTGCCCCACGTTTACTTACAAAAAGCAGTTGCAGTGCCACGTTTAAGTTGCAAAGATCTGAGGGGCAGTATGCCACTGCGCCCGTCACCCTGACACATAAGTTGACAAGTCCCATGTGCCTGTAAAAATGATCATATTACTTCTTGGTGGCATAAATATGTAAAGTACAACCCTTGTCGAACTCTTTCGCAAGGAGCTACTGCTACTAAAGGTAACCAGATAAGCTGTGGCGAACAAAATGAAAAAGAGTGGTTAACATTCTTAAGGGCCAGTGTTCACAGTTGGTTTACGTTTATTTTACTAACATATAATATAAATGGTTTTATTCGCACTATTATATACATAATTAAATATGATTTCGACTCTATGTTCACACCGGTGTATTTATAGTTTTGCAAGATTACATAATAGGTTTCCGATTACATTAGTTCACGTTCTGTGCACCGTGCACGCTAGAACATTGTTTATAGATTTTCACGCTACATATTGATTTTCCCTGATTCCTAACTAAGAAAAACTTGATATATATACTTCGTATTTGTACTAGGTTCTTTTCATCATCAAACATACGTCCGACCGCTAGGCAAGGGTCCCCTCTCAGGCGAGGGTTTTAAGCCATAGTCCGCAACGCTAACCCAAAGCGGGTTGGGTCTTTCTTCAAACCTTCTTCGGCCGACTTTTCCTTTATTGAAAAGCTCACGGTAAATTTCTAATTAAAATGTAGCACGTAAATTCCAAAAAACTCGAAGTGCGAGCCCAGATTCGAACCTACGGCCTCTTGTCATTGTTGGTCAAACCATAAGGCTACTACGCGACGGCTTAGAGTGTCATACTTAATTTCGACAAACACTATTTCGACTCGACAGTACCTCGACTAAACACATTACTTCGATAAAACACATGATCAATAGGTCACTATTCAGATAGAACATGAAATCGACAAAGAACTCCTTAACTAGTTATTAATTATTTCTCAGACATATTTATATACAGAGATATTCCGTTAAAGAATGAAGTGGTCCTAAGTAGTCTCTCAGTACAACAAATATTTATAAATATTTCATGTTTTGTCGGAATAGTGACTTGTCGAATAATGTGTTGTCGAAGCAGTTTTCTGTCGGTGTAGTGACCTGTACAATATGTGTTTTGTCGAAGTACTGTTCTGTCGAATTAATGTGTACTCGAAGTACTTTCGAGTCGAAATAGTTTTTGTCCAAATTAAGTATGACAGTCGACTGTACAATGTTTTTTTTATTTAACCAGATTTGCAGCAAATACGCTTAGTGCAGTGTCAGCTGCAATTTCCTACTTATTTTTTGTTTTCTCTTATCGCGTGTATAAAGTTCAGACTTCATATGCTATGTAGATTGAATTTACCACGCATTCCTCTCTCATGCGAAGAAAATTAAAGTAAACGTAACGTATTCTAAAAAAACAATGAATGCAATAATCATAAGCATACTACGTAAAATCAAATATTATAAATATTATTCATATTTTAACAAAAGTTTTTAAGATCTCTTCAACAACGAATGTAATATACTCCATAACTTTTTTCCGTGTTCTAAGGTCTGATTCACCCCATCAATATTAAACAACTTTCATAATTGTCTTCTCAGATAGCAAAGAAACTTCTAGTATCAAATACGTTTAGGTCGAGTAGATAAAAATATGAACCAGCTAAAATGTTTTTAATAGCAGTAGAGCTTGCCTTGTGAAAGAGTTCGTCCAGGGAAGTACTGCGAACGTACCTAATTTCAGCTGCCAAGCGTTCCGGTTGTGAAGGGTTAGTGGTGCTGGTGAAATTGCAGGCATATTGGACTAGTCAACTTATGTCTCAGGGTGACGGGCGTAGTGGCCCATCAGATCTTTGCGATTTAAAGCTCTGAACGGCACTGGGACTGCTCTGGACAGGCGTGTCGCTTACCACCAGGCTCGCGACTCGTTCTTCCCGTCATGCGTCACTTGATACTTATCATGAAAAAATATTATTATGAAGGGCACAATCGCCTCCTAAAATGTCAACTTAGCTCACATATTCGGAATTTTTATTTGTTAATGTACCTTAACGTGAAAAGAATTCTACCGGAGAAGTGGCTCTGCAATTTTATCCTCCGTAACAGTCCGTATGGGTTATTTATTTCTATACAAGAATAAATCTAGTAACAATGTAACATAATTTATTTAGGATATTTTTTGATATTTACGAAAGCATAAAACATAATTTTATTTTACACTTTTCAACTTAAACAGATTTGTATGTAAATTAAAATAAAATATTTACGATGACTTAGTGATCCACGTGCAGAAAGGTATAAAACACGTTTTAAAATAGAAAAACAAGAAAATAAATGTCAATCTGGTTAGTCAATTTTGGACGGCATTCCGATTTTGTGCATGTCAACGGGTGAGCTACTTTAGTATTGTCGACAACGTCCATAATAATACAAACGAGAAAAAATTAATAAATATTTAATATTTTATAATTACACTTTTAATCATCAAAAGGGTTCAACACTAGTACTCATTCGCTTATATGGCAGATTCCCCCGAGAAAACTGCTAAACATTATTCTATTTATAACATGGTTAACCGACTTTAAAAAAAGGTGGAGTTTCTGAATTTGACTGTATGTTTTTTTTGTATGTATCGTACGCGATAACTTCGTTTGTGAACCGATTTCTCAGTAGTGGTCTCATTTAAATTTGAAAAAAATATTCCACCTCTAAGGGTGGCAAACTAGGGAATGAATGACTTTTGGGTTCGTACTACTAAAAAACTGAATATTATTATTATATTGTAAGTCAAAAATATGCAAATTTTTTGAAGTTTTGATTTTTTTTTACCCTCTTTTTTCCATTCAGACGACCTTAAAACTAGCAGGTAGTCAGAAAGTGATGAACACATTTTTTTTCTGATTTATTGGTCATGATTGAAATGGGACCTGTAAATAACCCGAAACGTTGGTTTGTTTCAACAAACAAATATACGCGAGTCAGATCCGAAGAACAGTTTCATTTGTAACAAACTATGTGTAACAAATGCGTAGACCAACGAACTCAATAGTAGTCACTAAGTGGCTATTCCAAAACGAATGTTATTGCACCTCGAGCAGATCCCATCCTCCTGCCTTTATCCATTATTTTGGGATCAACGCAGTATTTTTTCTTCCATTCATCTCTATCACTTGTCATTCGTTGTCTACTTACTTCCTTTGTATATGTATAATAATAGTAATAATCTTTTCTTTAGTCTTCCTCTCTCCTTACATCCATCTACATTCACACTCCTTGTGACAGAGTTCGTCCAGGGAAGTATTGCCACGTTACCTATTTCAGTCGCCAAGCAGTAATGTTAGTATTACTGCGTCCGGATTTTGAAGGGTAAGGTGCTGGTGAAATTACAGGCACATGGGATTTGTCAACTTATGTCTCAGGGTGACGGGCGCAGTGGCCGTGCCCCTCAGATCGATTAAAAAAGCTCTTAGTGGCACTACACCTCTTATGGACAGGCGTGTAGCTTACCATCAGGCGCACGACTTGTTCGTCCCATCTTCGTCTCATCTCGTCCCACTTGATATTATATAAAAAAAAGAAAAAATGTCATTAAAAAAAATGCTATTTAAAACAAATTGTTAGTTTTTTTCAAATATCAAGTTTTAAAATACAGTGAACTTTAAAAATTGTCCGGTCATTGCTCTGCATTAACATTCACTGGATACCTGATAATTAAAGACTCAAACGAAGTATCTATGGGTGGGCAAGATGCCGAAAAAAGTTAGCAAAAAAATTACGCCGTGAATAGATGCCTGGCTAGTATTGTAGATGAAGATAGTGATAAAAAGTAATATCCTAAGCAAAGTAACTGTCGACAAGGTTGCTTGCATTGAATATTGTCCGAGCACTTGGGTATACTATGGGTTTTGGGTTTGATTACCATTAGGCGGGCTCGTACACTCTTTCGAATCATAAAATATGCACTTAAGTTTACTAAGTAATTTTCATGTTAGTTTTCTATGCCTAATTTCGGTGACAATTTATATTATTTAAATATTTTAGAATATTACCATGAAGTATTATTTAATATTCGGGTGTGTAGCCTGAAATATTATTTAACGTTTTATAATATTATTATAATTGCCACCGAAATTAGGTAGAGAATACTAACCCGAAAATTACCCTCCTAATACGATGACGGAAATAACATTTCTCCCTCTTTCTATCTTACACGTTGTTATCCTCTTATGACTTTTGCTCGCGCTGTCTTTTGATCTTTTATCCTTTACACCTTAGCTCACCTTTTATTTTGTGAATATTTGTTTGGTGCAATAAAGATTTTATAGGAAAACATTTAAAAAAATAGTTTTTTTTATCTAACAATCGCGTGACAAAAAAATATGTCTTCCATTATACCACATAGGTCCGCCGATCATACCCGGGTGTGTAAAACGTAGACCGCAAAATGCTCATAATCACAGGTAAAATTAATGCAATTGCCTATTTTAACCGACTTCAAAAAAGAAGGAGGTTCTCAATTAGAAAAATTTCACTTTAGCCTTAAATAGGGTGCATTATAATTTTTACCCGACTTCAAAAAAGGAGGAGACATTTTGTGAACCGATTTCGATTATCTTTTTTTGTTGGAAAGGGGATACCTCACTAGTGGTTCCATTGAAATTTTAAGAAAATATTCTAAATATTAGGGGATGAGTCTGGTTTATTGGATTTCACCCACTTTTCGTTAACAAATTTCAATAGAACTTAGCAAATAGATGTAATTCCACAAACGTTTGAGGGTTTTTTTTATAAAAAAAGTCATTGTCTACCAAATAAATGTTAGATAATACATTGAAATTCGTAACCGAGTCACATAGGCCGCTTATTGACATATAAGAAACTAGAATTTACGATTTCACATTCAATATTTTTTTTTAGAAAGTTACTGTATGTAAGTATTTAATGAATTGTATCTTGTATGTTATGTAACAAATAAAAATGTTCGAAGAAAACACGATTGAATATTATATGACTAAATTGACAATAGGAGACTGTGTTTCTCTATTTACCTCCCTATAGTTAATAAACACGAAAAGCAATACAGTTCTGTAACATTATTAAACGAAAAATAATACATTCAAATCACCTTGACTGATGTTATATGTATATATATATGTATGGTTTATATAAAATTATAAAAAATATTTATATAAAATATATATATATATATATGTATATATATATACATATATATATTGTGTGTGTGTATGTGTGTGTGTGTGTATAACATACAGATATCGATCTCAAAAGTTCGCTGAATTACATCTATTTGCCAAGTTTTATTGAAGTCGGTTACCGGAAACTGACCGAAACCGGATTCAAATTCATATTTTCTTCAAACTTATTATATGTATATATATTATTGTTTCTTTCCAACAAAAAAATAATCATGAAAATCGGTTCACAAATGTCGGAGTTATTGAATAGATGTTAGACAACATCACATACGTTGTTGTGATCCCAAAGTATGTAGCTAAAGCACTTGCGTTATGGAAATCGGATATCTGACCCGGCCGGGGATCGAACTCTGGACCTCTGAGATGGCGACACCTAACGTACATAAAAAACAGTCGAATTGAGAACCTCCTTTTTTGAAGTCGGTTAAAAAGCAAATTGTAACGAAGTTTTTCACATATCTATCACACGTGTCAACTGTATACGATCTTCCCTTAAAATATACAAACAAGCACATTTGTACAAATAGCGTCAAGACGAAGAAGCGGTAGCCACGGCGAGGCAACAAACGCTGATTCGAGTCCAATCAGTACGAAGGAATTTTTCTTTGTGTTTCTTCAATCTTTGTATCAATATTAAAGTATTTTATATTGTGCTAGTTAGCAACATTGGAAGGCAGATTGGTCCTTTGTCTTTCTGTAGTCGCTTCGTCATACTGTTCGATGAAATAACTTTGGAGTGCCCGGACTGTTTCTGTTCATTATCAATTAAAAAATCTCAGAATTTCATTCACAATTTAAAACTGATATTTTATTTTCAGTCGGTAGGTATAAAGACAGGAGCAATAAACGGCCCGGCTTATATTTATCAATTTTTCTGATTTCAATTATCAAGTCGCCTACTCTGATGTGTGTGTATACGTATAAAGAATCAAAAACAAATAATACCTATAACATATTTGTAAAAAACACCACCCTGCTAAACTTTGCTTATAGACTTTCGCTGTGTCGTTGTCGCGGTCTCCTCACCGACTGAAACACATGGAAATCTCGTCAAAAGTAATTATACACAACCGAAACACAAATAATAATGGTGACCGTTCGGCCACGGAGGCAGTTATATATTTACCTCACTGTAACATTTTATTTTCTTTGGAATTACATCTATGTGCCAAGTTTTATTAAAATCGCTTAATGGGTACATAAGTGAGTGACATTCAATAAACCCACTAGTATTTATGTGGTCTGTGAATAAACCTGATTCATCCCTTATTTTCTTAAAATTTGAATGGGACCACTAGTGAGGTACCTCATCCAACAAAAAAGAGACATCAAAATTGGTTCAGAAAAGTCGATGTAATCACGTAACATACACACGAAAAAAACGTTGTATTGAGGACCTCCTCCGCTTTGAAGTCGGTTGAAAACAAAACTGTTTTAAATATCTCATCTGAGTTTGAATTTGAGGACATCTGTAGGCATAGTCAATATCAATCGGTAAAGTTAACAATGAGCTGTAAAGTTCGACACTTGAATATCATTAAGATAATTATGTTAATACTATCAAGTTATAAAAGTGTTTTCAGAAAGTATATTTATATAAAGTACATATACAATTGTATTTTACACAAATTAATAAGTATCCTACATCGAAAATGAACTATATATTTGTATAACATTGAAAAACTTTTAACGTAATAAAAAACATTACGTTTTCTTTGTTTTATATTCTAATAATATATCCTGGAAAGTATAATGACCAAATCTTTTATCTTTTATTCATAAATAAACCTTTATACCTTACACTATTACTAACTGCCTCCATAGCCGAATGGTTACCATGCTGGACTGCCACGCAGAGGTCCCGGGTTCGATTCCCGGGCCGGGAGAAATAGTTTTATGGCCTACATTTATGTCTCTCGTGATTTTGGGCATAATTTGTGGTTGCCTATGTGTGTGTCCTTGGCACCTGCGATACAGGATTTCCCTAGTAGCGGGGCTCTGAGTTATTATTATTTAAAAGTATCTAAGTTTTTTAGTACTAAAACTAAACTAAATTTCAACAGATCAATACTTATGAAGAATGGTTCAGCAGTAGACGCGGCGATTGCGTCGATGTTCTGCAACCATTTACTCAACCAGCAGAGCATGGGCATTGGCGGAGGTTTCTTCATGACGGTCTTCATAAAAGATGAGGAGAAGGCCTACGCCGTCAACGCAAGAGAAAAAGCACCAGCACAGGCTACCACTGACATGTTTGGAAACAATTCTGATAAGGCTTCTAGAGGTAAGAAATCTAATAAATGTAACACATTGCAGAACATCAACAACACTAACAAACAAAAATGCAAGTTTAGTAGCAGTAGGATTCCTTGTGAACGAGTTCGTCCAGGGAAGTACCTACTGCCACCTTACTTATTTCTGCCGCCAAGCAATAATGTGAGCATTACTGTGTTCCGGTTTTGACGGGAAGCTCCTCAGATTTTTGCGATTAAAAGCTCGTAACACTGCAACTGTTATGGACATGCGTGTCGCTTTTCACTAGGTGTTTGTTTGTCCCGTTACTTCGTATCGTAAAAAAACTTAACTTAATTTAAATTCTGTGCAACCGGCTTTTTTGTTACCGGAAACGGAAAAGGACATTTTCACTAGAAAAAAACAATGCACGTTCCACATTCATTTTGTACAAAGAATTTTGGGAAACATACATCTATCGCCATGTAAGCCATAAAGAACTGGCCGTCGTGCTAAAATAGTGCTAGGTATTTACTTTGGGGTCGGTACAACGTACCTACGTGATGTTGTATAATATTTATTTTTATTTATTATTATTAATAAAGGTTAGTCGATGATGAAGGCATGCATTAAAAAAAGGAACCGACTTCAAACTTTGCTTATATGTACGTACATACAAACTGAACTAAAAAGTTAACAATCGGTTACCGGAAAATGCGCGAAACCGGATTAATCCCCTAGTTTGCCACCCTTAGAGGAGGAATATTTTCTTCAAATTTAAATGGAGCTAATTCTGAGGTACCCTCTTTCCAACAATAAAAGACTCTTCAAAATCGGTTCACAGTAATCGGGTAACATACACACAAAAAAATACAGTCGAATTGACAACCATCTTCTTCTTTTGAAGTCAGTTAAAACAATCATTAACTTGTAAATTCTATCGTTACCCACATTTTGCGATGCAACAGAATTGCGAAAAGTGATAAACAAATCCACCATCCAAATATTGCATAACTTGAGGCCAACGCTAACGCAATCATTCATTTCTTTGTCTTATCATTATCAAATACGGACGATTATCTTTTCACGAATTCAACGAAAGGTGAATACGTGACTATATACTTATAATAATCTAAGAATGAAACTTTATGGACCAAAAATATAATTAAATGTTTCAAGGTAAGCGTGAACTACAATCTTGTCAACAGGATTACAAAGTTGTTATGTATACGTATTTATTCTAGCTGTTTCGTTTTTATCCAAAAGTGGAATGGATGGAATTCCATAGCTCTTACCTTTGCCAAGCTCTACATTTTCTTTTATATTTTGTTTTTCATATCTTTATCACAAGATACACAGGAGATGAGATATATGATAAAAATAGGTACATTATTGCACAACATGAATACATTAGATGTACTTACAAGCATTTAAACTCCGTACTTAATAAGGTGCATTGTACGTGTTGCTTTTATCAACTCCGAAAATTCATTGTTTAAACATATTTTTCAGTATAATTACAACTGCTATTGTCAGTCCGACCAATTGTCTAAACAATTTAACGTGTTTGTTATAGAATATAAATTGTGTGTTATAAAATAACATGTTTTTGAGCTATCCTATCTCAGGAGAGCTTTAAAACCGGCGAAGTGCAATCTGACCCGAGTTGAAAGTACCATAGACTTGACTCATGATAAAAAGACCGAACAAACTGGTTCGAGTGCAGCCGGGGCGAAGTATTTTTTTCTTTGCGTTTGTTCTGTTAATAGAGTATTTTCACAAAAAAACGATGAATATCGTAGTAGTAAAAACATTATGATATTAAAATTAAACTTAATAAATATATTGAACCCTCGTAATTTTTTTGTTTAATAAGAATAAAGAGTCTTTTTGTGAATTAGCAAGATTCTTGTTATTTATTTTGTCAATACAGCTCTACCTTTTGTAACAATACACGCACAATACATTGACCAGACAATTGAATTTTTTAAATGTAAGTCGATTACTGTAAAACGATACTCGTCGTACTCTTATGTTTTGAAATATCTGCTTATGGAACATAACTCTGCAACTTATTTTTGAAGTTTTTGCAAATTTTACGTTGATTCGTAGAAAAAACGTTGAAATTACTTATTAGAATGGTACGAGTCGGTAATTTTCAGGTTAGTTCTGTACCTAATTTCGATGGCAAAAAAAAAAAATATATATATTATTTTAGAATATTATTATGAAGTATTAGTTATATTCGAATGTAGTAACCTGAAATATTACTTAATATTTCAAAATAATGCGCTCAAATACTTGTATAATAAAAATTGCCACCGAAATTAGGTAGAGAAAACTAAACTAACAAACATAATATTAATTAAAAACTGGGCATACAGTCTGGGATGTGACCTGCTTGGAGAAAATAATGTGCTACAGTACAACATTTCAAAGCACAAGCTTTTGCAGAGGATACCCTGAAGGCAACAGGCGAAACTTATCGCTAAGGAGCAATTGGCCTCATTAAAGCCTCCAGTGACCAGAAAAGTGGCAGTTACTTCTGGCAAATGATAAGTTTAGCGACCCATATGGAAAACATTGCCAATTTCGTAACTTTGATGAAAATTTCTACGTTTTCTTTTACGATACCAAGTGACGGAATGAACAACTAGTGCGCTTGATGAACGACAACGATAAACGACACGCCTGTCCATAGCAGTTTCAATACCACTTAGATATTTAAATCGCAAAGATCTGAGTGGCACTGCCACTGCGCCCGTTACCCTGACACATACGTTAACAAATCTCATGTGCCTGTAATTCTACCATCACCCTTACCCTTCAGAAAGCAGTAATGTTCACGTTACTGTTTGGCGGCAGAAATAGGTAAGGTGGCAATACTCCTCTGGACGAACTCTTTCACAAGGAGCTCTACTGCTACTAAAAATTAAATACATTTAGTAAATCGTTTCATATATATATTATTATATATACCTATTTTTAATACTTCGAAAAATGGTCTTATACTCGTGAATTTTGTCATCATGTGTGACTCTCCCAGCGTTTATTTCGGCAATGACTAATGTAGCGTTAATGGATATGAATAATAGGATTGCAACATGTTAAAATAGATTGTACATTATTATTTCTACGTAAATAATGCCAAATTTATTAAGACAATCGTTTCTCAATATTATATGTGGCATTATAATATTGAGAAATCCTCCGTATCCTTATAATTTTTATCAGTAGATTGCTAACTAAAATTATTTTTATAATGACAGTATTTATAGAGTAAATTGCACAATTCGACATTGACGAAAACATTTTTTTGTTATTCTTTCTTATCATAATGTATGATTTTAACTATTCGTTAAATATAGATTATCTCACAAACCAACAAGAACTTGCCTATCTACGTCATGATCAGTATAAAGTGGAAGACGAAATTTTTGTAACACAATTTCTAAAATATTGGCAGTAGTATTAATTTTACTTTATTTACGAGTTATATTTTATTTATTACATTTGAAAGTGGTTATATATTCATTATAATATTAAATTATAATTGTAACGCATGGAACAATGCAAAACCGATGGTGCGTCATGACGCGAATGAATAATCCGCGGATTTCTCCAAAGCTTTCTCTCGGTCTGGTTCCAGTCTCGACACAGGCGGAGCCTAAGTTTCACACTGTCGATGTATCTAAACGGCGCGGTCTTTTTGACAGTAAAGTACTGATTGTATCAACTCATAAATTTTCTAATGCTGGGCATGGCTTTCCTCTAGTCCACTACCCAGACTCAGCGCAAATCGGAAGTTCCAAGTTCTTTGTTATAAAGCACAACGTAAAAATTGAATTTTGTTCACAAACTCATAGTATTAGTAATATTAGCCAAAAAGATCGGATTATCCGCCAATAATAAATACACCAAGACGACATCTATGATAAATTGGAATAAAAATACGAAAACTGCATTTTTTATATTATCTATCTATCTGAGTCAGCCGTGAACATGTGATCTTAAAGTGCCCAAAATGTTGGTTTGTTTGAAAAAACAACTGGGCTTAGATTCGCAAACAAATACTTTCATTTCCTGTGTAACAATCGCGAATTCCTAAGAGCTGTTACACACGGTGACTTATAGCAGCGATGCAAACGCGATGCAGTAGTTAATCGTCTGCCTTTACACGCACGCGCGACTTTAAACAGCGATGCAAATGCGCGACTGCATCGATACAAACGCGCGATTGTAGTGCGCATTGCAAGTGTAGCGATGCAATCGCGCGTTTGCATCGCTGCTAAAGGTCGCCGTGTGTAACAGCTGAATACAGAGATATTTACTTCTAAAAATGCCTTGTTTGCAAAATGTTCAAACTTATAAGTGTTCTATGTCTTGATAATGGTGTAATATGGTTTAGTGAAGTCAACTGAGACTCGAATACTTTATAATACATTTTTGTTTGACAGGTCCCTTAGCAGTGGGAGTGCCTGGCGAAGTCCGTGGTTTGTGGGCAGCTTACAAACGTTGGGGCAAGTTACCCTGGGACAGCCTGATTGCTCCCACCTTACAGATGTGCGAAGATGGTTACCAAATATCTAAGGCATTGTACGACGGGCTTATGTCGGCATCTTGGATAAAAAATGATGCTCATATGAAGTGAGTCTGAAATCACTTATGTTTATTCTCGAAATCGTTACCCAATGTTGTAAGTAGATCTCCCCCAATGCCGTAATTTCACGTAGTATTGGATTTTCTATCTATCTGTTATTTTACGTTTCTGCCCTCCTTGTCACAAGTAACGCATTTGCATTTCAGTAACTTTCGAGTTATTGGCACCTAATGTATTTTTTGCTAATAAAAAATGTCAATTACGCTTTTTGCTTAACAATAAAACTGAAACTAAATCAGATATAAAAAACTCGATTAGAGCGGGTTGTAGATCTCGTTTCGCTGATTCCAGATATGTTAATTACTCAATTTCGCTAAAATGTCGAATAGGTGTCGATTCGTATTCGTTCCGAATCCGAGACTTTACAAATCTAGAAAGCTCGGACCCACTTCGGATGTCGCTTGTGCACTAAGTCCGATTCGTATCCGAGAAAATACGAATATCGTTTATACACCTAGCGATAAAATGATCCCTGTGACTTTTAGACCGTCATTTCTCGGAACTGGGGTCTACACTCGATCTCCGTCCGACATCTGTCCGAAACAGTTACTGCCAAATAAGGAACACTTGACCAAATGAAAAGACGCGTGATGCGAATGAAGCTTCATACTTCATACTTGTCTTTTAATTTTGTCGAATATTACTTATTTGACAGTAATTGTTTCGGACGGATGTCGGACGGAGATCGAGGACCCCCTGTCACGAATCGGACGTAGTGCGCCAACGCGCTTAGTAAGCTTTGATGCATGAGGTTATAGTTGTCAAAAAAACAGTGGTAGTTTTGTTTGTATTTTATTTCATCCAGTATTGACTGCCTACGTCTACTTCTTTCGATCTAATGAATACACTGTAACAGGAGTCGAATATAACCCTTCGGTACAATTGGTCTACTTTCCCGATCAGTCTACTTTCACTATTCGTCTACTTTCCCGATCAGTCCACTTGTTTTTCCCGATTCGTCTTTTTACCATTTCGTCTACTTTCCTGTTTGGTCTACTTTCCAATTTCGTCTACTTTCCTATTTGGTGTACTTCCCCGTTTGTTCTACTTTCTCATTTGGTCTACTTTTCCGATGAATATAATATCCATAATCTTCCATTCTTTATTTATGTACAATTTTGATTGCTCTTCAATGTTTTAAAAATAAATTCAAACGAGACCTTGATATTGAATTGGTTTAGCCGTTCAATAATGTCGTAGGAATCTTAAGAACCCCGAATCGTAAAGGAAAAAAAAACTGGTCAAGATCGTAACAATCTTTTAATAAGGACCGTCAAAAAATCACAAGGAGAAAAAAAATATTAGTAACACCTGGACCCCGATTCTGAACTCTTCGATATTAACCGAATCCGAATAAATGATTTCCATATTACATTCTTGCTTTGTAAACAATAGGACGTTCGGTAACTTTCATTCGATAAACAGTTCTGAATAACGTTTGTATGCAGCCTTTGCCGGTCGAGAAGTACGAGTAATCGTACGGCTGTGATGTCATTTCGGTTCGGTTTCGAATACGACGATACGACGATAGTTCTGAATCGACCTGCTGGACAGCATCAACACCCCCCAATAGGTCCGTACCGCCCCCCTAAGATTCTTCAGCGCCCACTAGGGGCCACTTTGGGCAACTATGGGTTAACGAAAAGAGGGTGAAATTCATTAAACCGGATTCATCCCCTAATTTGCCACCCCTAGAGACGGAATAGTTTCTTCAAATTTGAATGGAACAACTGCTGAGGTACCCCCTTTCCAACAAAAAATATAAGAATTCATAGAAATCGGTTCACTAAAGTCGAAGTAATCGCGTAACACACAACAAAAAATAATACATTCGAATTGAGAACCTCCTCCTTTTTGAAGTCGGTTAAAAAAGCGTTATTTATTTGTCATTAAATGTATCCATTGCACATATATGGTAGCTACATTCTGTCTTTCTTTTCTTTCAGAAAAGTTTACTACAATTCGGCAAAAGATCAATTTCACAAACCGGGCACAATGGTAAAGCCGACAGAAGCTCTATGCAACACGTTGAAGAGGATAGCCGCGAAGGGTGGTGATGAACTGTACAATGGAACCTTGGCCACTGATTTCCTGGATGATCTAGAGAAAGTTGGAACCATCATTACTGCTGAAGACTTGAGAAATTATGAGTAAGCACAAAATTTATCTTAAATATACTATCTGACATATAACAACATGCAAAGCCAATTTCGATAAGTAACGCTTTATACACTGTGTATGGTACAGAGTTACAGTGATTTTATCCTCTATTGAATTTGGAATTAAAATAATTACGACAGAAATTTTAAAATGTAGTCACAGAAAAACAGACAATTAACACAAGTTTACATTCAAATTTCATCAAGGAAACAAATTGTGAAATAATAATAATACGACTTAGCCGAAATAAAAGTACCTAATCCATAATTTAAAACAAATATCTTGTTAATATATCTGCGTTTCTTGATTATTTCGCAGATATATTGAGAAAAACGATAATAAAAAAAAATTACAAAAACATTTACTTTGAAATAAATGCAATTGAAATTTCAACAACGAATACTTTTTACAAATATTTTATAAAATTATTTAGGTGCTCATCCACGATAATTTGTGACAGATGATGCCACATTTTATGTTTTTAAAATTTTCTTGATAATTCGTTTTCACAGTACCTATATCAACGATTTAATCTGTTATCGGTATTTCGGGAAATATACTTTTAGGTAACATTTTATCAATAATTGTAAATCCCGTAATAACCTATATACGATATTAAAGTATTATAAGGCATATATGGCTCGTTTTTTTTAGATAACGATGTCCTCTGATACTGTAACCGCACATATTGTAAACAACGCCCGTAATAGCACAGCTGATTATATTGATATCTGACCCAATAATAATCCCCAGATCGCCATAAACAGTTACCGCAAATTAAAAATTGAAGAGTGCAAAGATGTTTTTAGCGTTAGTACCTATGCTTTTAACAATCTCATTTTCAATAGAAATCAATGTTTTTTGAGTTTTGTTCGCACGAAACTGTCTGTACCTGAGGAATTGAAGCTGCAAAATCACAAACGTTTACCCTCCGTCTACTTGCTCCGCTTTCTGCGATTCTTGGAACAGAGCTGATAATTTGAAAAACTAATTGTTACTAGAAAAATAGAGGACATACGACCTAGAGAACGAAGTTTGTAATGATAATTTGATCAGATAATGTAATGTCGCACTCCACCTAGCCGAAGACAGAGGTTTTTTTTTTTATAATACCAAGTGACGACACGAACAAGTATCTATAACAGTTGCAGAGATTTAAATCGCAAAGATCTGAGGGGCACTGCCACTGCGCCCGTCACCCTGAGACATAAGTTGACAAGTCGCATGTGCCCGTAATTTCACCTGCATCCTTACCCTTCCAAACCGGATCGTAGTAATGCTCACTTTACCGCTTGGCGGTAGAAATAGGTAAGGCACTTCCCGGGACGAACTCTTTCATATGGACCTCTACTGCTACTAAAGTAAGAGACAATGGGATGGAGAAGATTTATTGACGGTGTACTTGCCCAAAGTTACGATCCTCAGCAGTGAAGACCAACAGAGAAGGATTTAAGTTCTGTTTATTGCTGTATAAAAATAAATACCTGTCCTACCTACACATGCTACACAAACTTCTAGAAGTTCTTAGAATTCGAGAGTAGGTTGCAATTAAAGTTTACACAGATACAGATTTCAGTCTTGGTTCATTGCCCTTTTATTGTGCATGCAGCAGTACACTACCGCGCCCCGTATTACTTTATTCAAATAAACGAGTGAACAGATAAAGACTTGTTTTGCACTCAAAATATTTCCTTTTATGATTTATTTAATTGGAATTTAATTACTATACACATTAACTAATTTAATTTACAAAAACGTTCCAATGTTGTCTAACACCTACATGTGTTGCGTAGGTGTATCATACTATACACATACAAGTTCAATACTTATGATTATTTCCTGTTTATTATTGTATAGTTATATATGTATGTTTGATAGTTATATTGGCATATTATCCGAAGGTCAGATACCGGAAGAACAAAATCATTAAAATTCTAATCCCTATAAACAACATTCATAGATAGTACAGTGTATATTTGTAAAGTCTATTTATAACAGGTTCACTTACCTTTTATAGGTATGTTTTATGTTAAAGATACGTAATGTTCAAAGCCAAAGCCTTTCCGAAAGTCGTACATAGATTCAAAGTTTGACTAATGGACTTTAGTTTTGAAAGGATCTTTTCAATAACCAAATAGCTATATGCATTCATGAATATGCGAAAATGTTGTAAAACTTGTACAAACCAACTTCTTTAAAGGGACAAAAACATAATTATTATTACTTTTAATGTTGAAATGTTTGTCAGCACGCTTCTATACTGCGTCCAATTATTTTATTTTTTTGAAGAGTGCGGATTAAGTATTTTTATGATGCCAAATGGACGGAGAAGGATGTGCGAAGATGGTAAGCAATACGCCTGTCCATAGCTGTTGCAATGCCACTAAGAGCTTTAATCGCTAAGGTATAAAGGGCACTGGCGGCAGAAATAGGTGAAGTGGCAATACTTTAGCAGCCGAACTTTGTCATAAGGAACCCTATCGCTGCTAAAAGTGTTGCCGAACCCTTATTATCACGTATATTATACCTACTTACGTAAATATTATTATTATTATTAGTTACCGAGTAATCGTAAAGTGTAGTTTTTAATATACTTATCAAATAAACTACCTACCAACAACAACAACTTCAACAATTTCGATAACAACGCAAATACGAAAACACTGCGCCGATAAATGATGAAAGTATGAAAAAATATTTCTCAATACTTCACTTTGTTTTAAAATATTAAACAAAGTGACACCTGTTCAAGCTATGGAATATATGACTCATAAATATTATTGAAATGGTAATTGAATAAACTGTGAAGTTATTGTTTTTCTCCTTCTAGCCATGTTATGAAAAGATTGCAGATGGAACTATATCGTGAAGTACCTACTTAGTACATATTTTTAATTATTAATACAAAGATCGAACACTCAGAAAAAAATCAATGAGAAATCTATGAACTTTTCTGAGTGTTCGATCTTTGTATTAATAATTATAAGAAACTAGGGGAGTAATTTCACAAAAAACAATTGAATATCAATTCAACAAAAATTTAAAATAGTTTTAAATTCATATGTAAGAGAAATATTTCTATTTAGTTTTGCAATACACTATCCCTTTTCATACTTCCATCGAGATTCTGCTATCTTGCAATATGTCAAATATGTAAGAATGTTTGTTATCTCATTTTACATATAATATTGAGTTTTGTGTACCATAGATATATGTTTAAACGTATGTACCGCATGTCAAATGAGCTTGGGTAAAGAACCACGATAAGGATCCCACCCAATGCAAACAGGGATTTTATGAATTAGTGGAATTATATCACATGACACTTGTCAACTTATGTCTCAGGGTGATGGACGCTGTGCCAGCGCACCTTATATCTTTACGATTTAAAGCTCTGAGTGGCACTGGAACTGGATAGGCGTGTCACTTACCTTACCACCAGTCGCACGACTTGTTCGGCCCATCATCGTCACTTGCTATCATAAAAAAATGTAGAAGGCTCAGAAGGAGATGTGACGAGCAGTAGCTCAAAGAACTTCTTGGTTTAGCGGCTTTAAATCACGATGAGTGGAAGAAGGGAAGCCGTTGCTTGCCCTACAGTGGTATTATTATTATTCACCGATTTTAAAAAAAGGAGGAGGTTCTCAATTCGTCGTATTTTTTTTTGTGTATGATCCACGATAATTCCGGCGGATTTGTGAAACGATTTTGATAATTTAGTTGGAAAGAGAGTACATCAGTATTGGTTCCATTTAAACTTGAAGAAAATATTCAACCTCTAAGGGTGGCCAACTGGGGGATGAATCCGGTTTCGCGCGCTTTCCGGTAACCGATTAACTGTTTAGTTTCGGTTTGTATGTACATATAAACAAAGTTTGTAGTAGATTCCTTTTTTTTTAATCATTTTAATTATCATTATTGAGCATTGGCAAGAGCCATCAGCTTAAACAAGTAAGAAATAGTTAAACTCAAAACTTAATAAACTATTAATATTTTTTTGTTTAAGTATAAACAAAAAAAATAGTGAAAAAACAGTAACTAAAATAACTTTCCATTTTTTCCTTCAGTGGGGTAATAATGGCTGAAAATAAATAAAAATATAATATCTTTTTATTTTTTCTACACTCCTTTAATTATCCTTACTCTTTCTTTTCTTTTATATAAAAGAAAACTTTTATAAAGAGGAATAAAAAAATATTTCATAAAATTAAAATAATTTAAATACATAGAAGAAAGTAACAAAAAAAACCTGCCCATTAGAGTTTGAAAATGTACCTTAATACCTATACATATACCTAATCATTCGTTTTACATGCTAGATTTACGTAATACTTTTAACAATAGAAATAATAACTACATTGGAGTAAGGCAACAACATACCAATAATGTTACATAATGCATGCCTAAAGAATTCTACATGTTTATGATTTATGAACCAGAAAGGCGAAGAAGGCATATTTGCAATAGATAAGCAGATTTAGAACGTACTTACATACAGCAAGTACTACAATGTAGGAAAGTTTTCCTTCAATACCTACTACTAAGTCGAAAAATAAAGTTTCTTTACATGCTAATTAATTAAAATAACAAAGACATATCTGAATTTCTATCCAATCAAACAACTGTTCAGAAATAAATTCCTAAACTGACATAACATTTACATAGGTACTTGACGATCATAAAACAACAATTAACAGCGCACATACTGCTCATTTTAAAACAAACTAAAGTTAATAATCCTGCCAATTAAAAATGTTGTTACGCAGACTCACCTTATTAACTTTTAATTTGCTCTCATTCATTCAACCGTTGACTTTTCTCGCTTGCACTTGTGCGTCGTATTTTTTTTGAACTCTATTATGAGTTTATTATAACTTGATACTTTGAGTGCGTGAAGGAGGGACGAAATGTATGCATTTTTCAATGAAATGAAAAGACAGGCGGTGCTCAGAGGAAGTCATTTTGTATCGTCTTATGTATACGCTATATATCGGGTTACATTGCCGGAGGATTTTTTTATACAGGCCTCTGGTGTTTTGTTTAAAGCAAATACATCTGTAAATGCTTTGAGAAATATACTTTGAATGAACAAAACAATAGGAAACGGTGGTTTAATATTATAGGTTTATTAACAATATATCGAGCGATTGTTACAACTACTTTTTCGAAGATTTTTTACGTTACAAAGCGACGGGACGAACAAGTCTTGCCACCAGGCGGTGGTAAGCGACGCACTTGTCCATAACATTTACAACTCACAGCTTTAAATCGCAAAGATTTGAGGGACACTGCCACTGCGCCCGTCACCTCGTGACTTAAGTTGACTAGTTCATTGTCAATACCAATGCAATATTTATTTTTTCTTAATATATAGAGTTAATGCTAGAAACGCTTTATCTATTATTCTTATACTAATGACACAAATTACAGAAAAATATGACTCATTGTATTAATATATTAAGGTCCGTACGACTGTAGAAAGAAATGACCAAATGTAATTTACGGGCAAGTTTGTCAAACTTGTTTCATGGTTTATTTGATTGTTTGCGACATTGTTTGAAAAAAACGTGAAGTTTGAGGGATAAATTTGACAAATTATTTAATAGTTTACAGGGCACTTAACGCAACAGCTTGTGTAAGTATTTTGTAAATATAAAAGCAGCTTACAATGTTGCTCTAAGTAGAAGTGGAAAAGATCAATGTTGGGGTCAAATTGATAATAATATCGATAGATAAAGCTTCACTGTTTGAGTAAATATTTATGTCTTCATTAAACATAAAGGTTATAAAGGTAGGTTAGTCTTAACATAACAAGAGATTAGACCAAATTAACAATTGTAAATAGCTTACATAAATTAAATACATGAGTACATCAAACTAACTTCGGTCGGTTAGTAAACAATACAAGTACAGATTTTTATTAAAATTTAAATTTTATTAAGTCCAAATTTTCAAGCCTGATGCTTCACTGCACGTAGACAATAAAACTTAAACAAAGAATATCTATAATATGTAGATCGTGAATTACTATTTTTAACCGACTTAAAAAGGACGTAAAAAAGGAGGAAAATCTCCATTTAACTGTACTTTTTGTTCTGTGTACGTTACGCGATTAGTCCGACATTTAGAAACCAATTTCGAAGTTTTTTTTTGTTAGAAAGGGAGTACCTCAATAGTGGTCTCATTCAAATTTGAAGAAAATGTTCCACTTGTAAGGGTGACAAATTAGGGGATGAATGCTGTTTTTCGTTTTCCGTTATTCACGATAAATTTACACGATAGGGCTGATAGTCGTGCAGTTTAAACGTCAAAAAAGTCAGTTAATCGTGTTGTACTATATGTGAATAACTTCATTTAAATATCCCTGTTTTCACGACAGTTGTCACGACATAATGAGAATGCGCCCTATCGTGTAAATTTATCGTGAATAACGGAAAGTCAAAAAAACAGCATTCAAGCAGTAGTCCAACGATCAAAACGTCACGATAAAAATGTGACGACAGATACTACTACTAACGAACCGATAATTTGTCGTCACGATCAGTGGTGTCAGATTAGGCGACTTGAGCTACTTCGATGGGTCGCGTGGCAACTCGGAGATATTTAGGCTAGGTTTGAAATAGGAAAAGGCGATTTTAGGCTACTTAATAAAATGTCTGGGGAATTACAAATTTGACTGGGGATTTTGTGGGGAATGGAGTTGTAAAATAACTAATTTGGGGGTTTGAGCATTTCTACGAGTAGAGAATTGGGGAAATAAGAGAGTTCATATTCACCAATATCCGACAGCAACCAAAATTGTAGAATTATTTTCCTTGACACGATCTAGCGGGAACGGCTAGACACGACAGTCGTTCAATGATAAAATAAAACAGTCACGACAGATAGTCGTGATATGGAAACAAACTAGACGCGATAGTCGTCCTATTAATAAAAGAAAAAACCTTGTTTTTACAGGGCTAAAATTTCGGAACCACTAGCAATACCAATTGGAAATGGAGACATCCTATACGCGCCTCCCCCACCCAGCAGTGGCGTGATCCTGGTTAACATTCTGAACATCCTTAGTGGTTACAACTTTACCAAAAATAGTATTAACAGTACAGAGGACAAGATATTAACATATCATAGGATAATTGAAGCTTTCAAATATGCATATGCCACGAGAACAAAGTTTGGAGACGCTGATTTCTTGGATTTAAAAGAAGTAAGTATGTCTATTCTTAAAACCTTGCAGAGCTATTTAGTTTAACATCGCTTTTGGCCTACAAATCTTATAGATCCAGTCCAATACTAATTAACTTAACCAACCTATTAATGTTGACTAAGTATTGATTAACTAGTTACTTAATTTTTTAATGCTGATTAAGCCAATGCCAAGTTATCTACCATCTTGCGCATAAAAGTGCCGTGTAAAAGTGAAAACTAGTGAAACGTAGGCGATTGATGCAGAAAATAAATCCAAACCAACTATATCACCCTTAGACTTTCTTCACTACAGCTAGGATTAACACACCTATGTCTTTTTAACATGTGTTTTCTTTGCGCGGTACAGAATTAATTATGATTAACATAATGACGCTTTACACTTACATTTCTTCTTTCTTTTTATATCTTTATTTATTTATGAACTTTTGTACAATGTACATGTCAGTTACGACGTATCCTAAAGTATAGCCACAAAGTACTTTTTGTAAGTATAGCTTACATGTCTGGGCGGCGCTGCTGGAGATTCAACAAATACTAACAAACAGCCCTTTTCCCCCGTTTCGTGTGAGGGTTGCCTAATATACAATTTATAGCACCTACGGATGTACGGTTAATCTGCAGGTCTCTTAGCAACGCTGCTTCTTTTTTAACCAACTTCAAAAAAGAAGGAGATTGTCAATGCGACTGTATGTTTTTTTGCATGTATGTTAGAATTCCGGTATTTGTGAACCGATTTGGATGATTCTTTTTTGTTGGAAAAGGGGTAACTCAGTAGTGGTCCCATTTAAATTTGAAGAAAATATTCCCCTCTAAGGGTGGCAAACTGGGGGATGAATGACTTTTGAGGTCGGCTTTTTTAGTACTCTGTACTGAGATTATATATGTAATGTGCTTATTTATAATTTTTATTTTAAAACAATTACGTTTCAACACTAAAGAAAACAATAATTTGTTAGAGAAATTCGACCGATTTACAGGTACTGTTAACGTAAATTCGATTATAATCAATGTTACATTCATTATAATGTTGCATTTATAACCGAATACACAACACGAGAACTGTGATACGTAATATTAAACTTTGTATGTACTTACAAAGGAAATTGCATTTGCTGTTGGCAAACAATCGATATGAATATTTGATCTTAATATGCCGTGTTATAATTTACAGCTGATTCAGAACGTAACACAACCGGAATACGGTACGAAAATCCGACTGCGGATAAACGATACGCAAACAAACAATTATTCAACTGCATATGGCGCTAAAACATACAATCGCCCTGATGCAGGCACTGCGCATATATCAATCATCGCGCCGAATGGAGACGCCGTGTCTGTCACCAGCTCTATTAATTATTAGTGAGTATTGAACAGCGCTCTTTTTACGAGCGTTACTTTTGGCAAAACAACCTTGTGCATTGAGATTTCTAACATTAATGTTTATGTATCCACAGCTACGGTGCAGGCTTCACAACGCTTAAAACCGGTATCATCATGAACAACGTGATGGACGACTTCTCCAGCCCTGGTTTCAAAAACTACTTCGGTCTATCCCCTGCGTCGGCTAATTTCATTGAGCCAGGAAAACGAGCAATGTCCTCAATGTGTCCCACCATTATTGTAGACTCGGGAGGTAATGCTAAATTGGTCATTGGCGCATCGGGAGGCACTAAAATTACTACTGCTGTTGCTTTGGTGAGCAAAAATCTATATAAATATTAGAAATTAACTGAAATGTTTGTTTATTTGAAGAAATTTCAGAAGCTACCGAGCAAATTTTTAAACAATAAGTCCTACGTAAATTAAATTTTTCTTATAGGTTCCAAAAGCAACGAATCAATAACAACGTAACTGATTCATTAAATATTACCAATAGGGAAATGAAACTATTTTTTCGGATTTAAATCGCGTATATTTGTTTTTTCAAACAAACCGACGTTTCGGGCCCTTTACAGGTCAATACAGTCAACCGTGTCCAGGGGACCTGTAAAGGACCCGAAACGTCGGTTTGTAATGTGTGTAACAATCTGTAACTGTAAATGTGTAACAATCGCGAAAACCTAAGAACTCGATATTACCAATTAATTACCAAACTAGTAGCAGTAGAGTTCCTTGTGAAGAGTTCATCCAGGGAACTACTGCCACCTTACTATTTCTGCCGCTAAGCAGTATGTAATGTGAGCATTACTGCATCCGATTCATATTGTTTTGAATCAGAGTCTATACAAATCTAAAAAACTCCGACCCACTTCGGATGTCGCTTGTGCACTAAGTCCGATTCGAATACGAGAAAATACGAATATCGCTTGTCCACCTAGCGATAAAATGGCACTACGAACACTTGTGATATTTCGGACTGTCATTTTCTCGGATTCGGCTATTACATGAGCCAATTCAATGCACGTGTGGTGTGGAAAGGTATCGGCCCGAAAAATTGGAAATTGTGTCTTTATCACTGGCTTGGAGACACTCCATAATGGAATGTCTCTATTTACACCACGCCAATAATGGCTTGTCTTATATTATCCTTAAAATTAGGTAGGTATAATAATAATAAAACACACACTCAACATAGCTATAGGTACTCACATTAAATTTATAAACAAATTCCAGGCAACAATACGGAAGTTGTGGTTCGACCAGACAATAAAAGAAGCAGTAGATGAAGCGAGGTTGCATCATCAGTTAACCCCCATGCACATCGAATACGAGTACGGTGTCATTGAGGTACGTTCATCGAATTGGAAGGGCTGGTCTCTTTCAACGTATGAATACATGATAGGTATCATTATCAACCCATTTATACATCCCACTGCTGGGCAAAGGCAAGGGTTTCACGTCATAGTCCGCCAAGCCGGCACAATGCGGGTTGGGGACTTCACACGTTTTCCGAGGATTGTGAACCTTCTTCGCTGTGCAGGTTTCAACACAATGGTTTCATTCAGGGAAACTCACAGGCGCGAGCTCGGATTAAAACTCACGGCCTCTGCTTGAGAGGCGGTAGGTCAAATCCTTAGTCTACCACGGCTTTTATACACAAAATAGGAATATTGAGAGAATTTTGGGCGCCCAGTAATTTATTAATTCCTTCTTATAATTCATTTAAACTGCCCTTAGTGTTTGTTGGAATATTCTTTAGTCTCGTTTTTGGAATGACCTAGCCGCAAAGAGTTTTCACAGTTTATTTTATTCACAGTATATTTTCAGTTGGTCTTTCAAAGTTCATCTGAAGACTTTACTCTTGTTTCGTTGTGAGTGATTTTGCACAAATACGTCAAAAAATGGGTAGTGCTCAAGCTCATACATATTTTGGTATTTGCGCACATAAAACTTATTATTCTAAAAGTTATAATTGAAGCTACCAGCGCAAAAGTGGTGTGACCCACATCCATGTTTTTTCTAAAATATTTCTTTAAATGATTCTAAAGTACTACATAATTATTTTATTGTACTTATTTGGATGCCATTTTCATGTTTAAAAATATATTTTTTATACCTACATGAAAATAGTATCCAAATATAAAATAATTACGAACTTTAGTATCATTTAACAGTAATATTTTAGAAAAAACTCCATATTATCTTTGTATAAAACTTGACTCGGTTGTAAATTTGTAACAAATATTGATATTTACCTAACAACCATCCACTATAACTTTACAGGATATTCTGGAAGGACTGCGAGCAAAAGGCCACGGTCTGGTCCGATACAAAGGCAGAGGATCAATTGTCTGCGCGTTGTTCAGAAACAGCACTGCTATTTACGCCAACTCCGACTTTAGAAAAGGCGGGGACGTCTCCGGCATCAACTGAGGAAAATTATACTCGACGATTTAGTGAATTCTCTAAGGATATCTAAAATCTACTATTTATTTTCAATGAAATTGAGACTCCTAAAAGGCCTTATCCAATTTACCTTATATAATAAAGAAGACAAATAATATTTAATGTAATTGTGAAAAGCCTTATTACAATGTTGAAAATATAAAGATATATGAAAAAAGAAAATTCCTTTAAAAACTAATGTTTTCTGAAGATGAAAAGTCTACAGTTTAGCTATCTATCGCGTCAATCCAAAACACTCCTAATCCGGGTATAGTGTTTTATAATTTCTGTACAATAATAATATTTCGATGAAAAATAATTAATAATTTGTTTTTTTAGTATAAATAGCTTATTTTGCAAATTCAATAAAACGTATATTTTATGTTCTTAAAAAAATTGACAAAACCAAACAATCCGTTTTGCAGCTTTATCTGCAAATGCTGTTTTTGATGTTACGTGTATTGGTTTGACACGATAGCACTGTACCTTGCGATGCTTATGGCTTCGTGCGGTGCTGATGTACGCAGTTGTGTTAAAACCTCAGTTTCACTTAAAGTGAGATTAATTGCAGTTGTTGTATTGTACATATAATGTTATGAGGTTGCATGTATAATAAAGTATAATTAATAAGGCGTTTAGCCTAAAGCTTAAGAATTGGCAGGGAAATTTTATTTCAAGATTGGTGTACCCGGTGTACCTATTATTTGTTATAATAACAAAAACTAAATGGGAAGTGAAACTATTTTTCCGGATTTAAATCGCGTATATTTGTTTTTTCAAACAAACCGACGTTTCGGGCCCTTTACAGGTCCCATGGTCACGGTTGACTGAGGTGGTACAGTCTTCAACCAGTTATGTCTAATATTGATACAAACCACCTTATTCTTTCACTATAGTTACAATAGTTATTAATTAAATACCTTATTTTTAATTTTACAAAGAAAACATTCCAATTTACGCTACATTAAGTTTTACAAATTATTTTATTGAATGAATTTTTATTAAGTTCAATTTATTATTATTATTAATATAAATTAGAATAAACTAAAACATATTAATTAGTACTGCAGTCTTATGTCTGTTTGGGATTTTTCATTAGAGGAAATACTGGATCCCAAAGTGGTGGTACGGAGAAACCATCTTCCCTGTTGAAATTAGGTCAAATTGATGTCAAACACTGTCGCGTAAACAAGTCTGCAGTCTGCGAGCATGTCATGGATAAACCTACACATTCAATAAAGTTTGACAAACCCCAGGTCCTTGCAAAAGAAGTCCGTTATCTACCCAGGACGCTGAGAGACCATTGAAATTAAAAAAAATCCTAATTTCAACAGGGAAGATGGTTTCTCCATACCACCAGTTTGGGATCCAGTATTTCCTCTAATGAAAAATCCCAAACAGACATAAGACTGCAGTACTAAATAATATATTTTAGTTTATTCTAATTTATTTTAATAATTATTAATAAATTGAACTTAATAAAAATTCATTCAATAAAATAATTTGTAAAACTTAATGTAGCGTAAATTGGAATGTTTTCTTTGTAAAATTAAAAATAAGGTATTTAATTAATAACTATTCTAACTATAGTGAAAAAATAAGGTGGTTTGCATCAATATTAGACTTAACTGGTTGAAGCCTGTACCACTTCAGTCAACCGTGACCATGGGACCTGTAAAGGACCCGAAACGTCGGTTTGTTTGAAAAAACAAATATACGCGATTTAAAACCGGAAAAATAGTTTCATTACCTATGTGTAACAATCGCGAAAACCTAAGAACTCGATAAGTTATTTACAGTCAACAGCATCTTTAGTAAAGTGTATATATACTTTGGATCGTTCTTATTATAGAGCATGAACTTAAGAGCAAAGCGGAGTGTGCTGTTGGCTAACTTGGTATTTTATGACCAAAAGAATATTAAAAACAAGATAAAATTTTAAACGATTTAAAAATATGAATAATTTTTGCTGACCGAAGGAAATTAGCATTTGTTTAAGTTACATTGTATTCTCGTCAGTTCGATTCGTATTATGTTATGAAAGTAAAATGTTAGATTTTGTTTATAAGCAAAACAAGCTCGATTTGCATTAGATAATCAGTATTTTTATGCTAAATGTATTGGAACTAATTAAGTACAAATGACGGCATTTTGTTGCACAAAATGTTTTCGATTTCTAATCCGCGATAATAAAAAAACAGTATTAATTATAAGGATATGTCTCAATTAGATAGATATCGTTATTAATAAACTTTTACAAGTTACTTTTGTTGTTATTATTATATTTAGTTATTATTTACCGGAATATTTAATAAAAATACTAACTCGTATTTAGAACGGCGTCGATTCCTGATAGAGACTGAATATGCCATAATTACGCCTAGCAAACAGGTTGGCAACCGCAGCGAAGCTGCTATTACCTCCTACGGTAAAGACCATGTTCATGTGTGGTGCTTCAGCACTGTTTTACGTGCTGACAAAACCTCACAAGACGCATTCTAAATAGACGCGATGCTGATGCCTGCTAACAAGGATACGTTTAGTCGCTTTCTGTTATATGTATAAACAAAAAGTTAGAATATTCCTGTATACGTTAATATTAAATTACATACCACATCGCATATCACTCATTGCGAGTATGCGTCCACAAGGACGTATAAGAGCATAAGCTCTTATCGACATGAAAATGACAAATAAAATAAAATATAAGAATATATGGAAATGCAATTCTAATAGTTATCCCTGAAGAGGCCGATAAGGTTACAGCATCAATACTAACATACATACGAATACTACAATATCAACTATATAAATATAGGTGACTATTAGTGGGAGCATGTGGATAAGTGTGTCCTTTTGGTCCTACCGGTGTAGGAGTAAAGTGGGGGCACCTAGTAGGAGCATGAGGAAACGGTGTCAATTTACGCCGGGCAAGACTCATTACAATATTCAAAATATAAATCACTTTTTTATTTTGTTTGTGCTGGAATCTGATTTTTTATTGTGTAATTGTCAGTGCATCTTATTGATATGCTTTGTTGTGGTGGACATTAACAAATGGTTTCTTTCTTTCAATGCCGGCAATAGAGTACGGATCTAAACAAGCAGTTTTCCTAAAATTCTTCTTTCGCTTTTTCCATTCATATTGGTCTTTTCATAAAACGTGAAGACAAATGTTTTTTTTGTCTGCATAAGTTATGGTAACTAAATCACAAAGAATGCTACGCACATATCATTTATTAATTCATTACCTCATTATAACATTTTGCATTGTAATTGCATTACACAACTTCAATTGAAGCCTTATAAATTCAAATATAACAATTAAAATATAAAACAGCAAACATGTCGTAAAAACAATTTTTCAACATGACGTAAGAACAATTTTTCTTATAACGCCTCGCGTCTATAAAATGCCTACAATAAACAAATCTGGTTCGCATATAGTACGTTATTTACGAATTAAATAAGAGTATACCAACAGATATCCATGCTTTACTTTCTCAAACTCGCATCTTATAAAGAGTGATTATTCAGGAGATGCCAAAACTTTAATTTATTTTAAATTTCTTATCAAGGTTGTTAATTTGGATGCATTAGTTAAAAGCCAGTGTGTGAAAAAGTTTGTATCTATCCACTTTTGGCATTTCAGTACTTAGTGCTTTAAGATACGTATTTGAGAAAGTAAGGCGACGATATTCTAGATAATTAGGTAAACATTTAAATACTTATCCGCTATAATAAACTTGCTACTAATATTTATAAACATACAAATGTGTTACAGAAATTCGCCGTACATCGAATATCAAACAGTATACAATTATTCTGGGTGCGCTATCTAGAACAGCCACAGAAAACTTATAAAGTTTATCCAATTTAAACATGAAACTATAAGTTTTATTTCTTATTTTTCTTGCTTTTCACGATTATGATATATGTATATACTATAAGTGCCCCCGTTTTAAAAACACCTCAAAAAACCTTGTAGGTGGCTCAAACTAGTTTTCCATTTCTCTGAATTATCAAATTCATTCCACAATCAGGTGCGTTCGAGAACACGTTAGAAGTGGCTATTGACAAGGACTTTTAAATGTTGTTCAAATGATAGTGACCGATATCTTTTAATTCTTGTACGCTATTATATCATATACGATATACGGTGTTACCTTTCAATACTATGAAATGATATCGTGAAAGTAAATCGATTTTTTATGACAAGCATTTTTATGGAAAACTCATGCTTGACCAAAAAGTACACCTAAATTAAAAAAAGACTTATCTCCTTGTATATAGTACGGTTTGAAATGCACCAAACTGTACCATAAAAAAAACACACAGACGCTGTGTAGTGCTTTTCTCAAAGAGTTCAAGGAAATTATTAAACACAAAACATGAAAAGTAGTAGTATCCATATTTTTATAAAGTAGTCATTATAAAAAACTTGGAGTTTTGTTTATTTTCAACATAACTAAAGCGTCTGTCTCGTGCAGCGTGCACGAATACCGATACGTATTTTAATGACAAATTATTACCAATGAAAACTAACGTTTGTAACATTATTTGTAATTTTTAAATTAACTTTTATCATACATAGAAAGTAGAGAATGTAAAAATTTAGGACGTCAAAAAACTTTCGTACTTTTACAATTTTTCACCGAAACCATCTTACCATTCGTTTAAATTTAATTTGACGCTTCTATTTGCTGCCAGCTGTCCACGGCATTGAAATCTAGTTGATATATTCCTGGTCAGACCTTTAAGTTTTACAGTGAGCCAAAACCTTATTCATTCCGGCATCCCGTGATTTAGAAGAAAAAATATATTTTAAAACGCCGCTTCCACATTTTGACAACAATTTAGGGGAAAAACTGGACTTTGGGTATAAAAACATCAGAATAGCCAACCACTGCATATAACTGAATAAACTTGTGGATTTTTGTTCCATTGAAAGTTACGCGTCTTGGCTGGTTTGAGAGCAATGCGGATTTATCTACGGACCGGACGGAACACAGGAGCGGAGTAACGCGTGTAGCGTTAGAACATCGTTTTAAAGTCCGTCCATGTCACTCCGTACGGAACATGTTCCGCGTGAACTCCGCACAAGGCTCCCATGCATTCATTGTAGACGACAGTCTTCCGTGAATATCGGAACTAAATTAAATATTCGATTTCCCGCAGGACCATACGCAAAGCTGTGAAACCAGCCTATGCGTTCCCTAGACAACAGTTGTGCGTCAAAAGTCTCATTGATGTTATAAAGGAGCTCCAGCTCTACTTGCAAGTACTAAGAATTATTGAATTTGGTGCCATCTAGTGTCGAGTAACGGAACTCCAAAAGCAAACAGTTCATGTTGTTTCTCGAATAATATGTAATAAATGATGAGATTTGTAATCATTACTGCTTTCAAATAACGTTAACCTTTTTTCGAATAGCTCAATGATTTCAAATAAAGTTAATATTTTTTCGGACATCCCAATTAACGTACATGCACTCATAACAAGTTTTTATAGTTCATAAATAAAACCTGTTGAGGTATGTTTGATAATGTATAACTTTGTTTTGATGAGGGTACAATCTTTTTAAGCACAGATACTAAATAGTACAATTTTGATACTATTTTGGTAATACATTTGTAAGGTTTTGTTAAGGTACACTCGCCATTCTAACTTTCCATTGCTCGACGCAGACTAAAGCGTGAATCACAAAGAGAGCGGGTGCGGGTCGGGTCGGACCGCGTCGGATCTAATTGCATGTATTTATATTGTGTCGCAGGACGCGCACGTGCTCGGTGTGTTATCGTCCGTATAAATTACACGGAATTAGACCCGCCGCGGTCCCGACCCGACTCGCACCCGCTTTGTATGTTTCACGCTTTATTGCAAGAAGCTACAATTGTATCATTTTCGAATCTTCACGACGCGAACGCCAGTGCAAATAAAGTACATAGTAGTGACATCATTGAAATAAGTATATATTATTTGTCTCATTTCGTTTAATAATAGTAATATTTATGAAGACTATGCATCCGCTAAATTCGTAAACCTCGTAAACCTCCATTAATGCGAACTTTTGAAGAGGCATAAAACAGAAGTACTAGAAATAATTATATGACAAACCATGATTATATTTGTAATTAAAAAAGGGTCTAGAAATTTTAAGTTTTAGTTGCCCGATATTGTGCTTGAAGAGTAAAAAAGGGGATGTCGTCCAAAAACGGAGTTAGGTACGAGGTTTTCAAATTTAGCCGACATATTCTTTATAATTAATTAATAAATAATCTTAGCATGTAGTATACGGTTGTGTGCGTTGGGTACTAAACCCGCTTGATACATTTCCACTATTTTGTTTATACGACGTGAAATTTTATCTCCCTGGAATACGGGACGTAAACGCTACGACACGAAAGATCAATTATATTTCTTACTAATCCAACGCCGCTATAATGCCAGCACATCTCTCATGGCTTCCGCAGGGGTGACGAACCTGGTAGAACCAAAAATAACAGTATTATCTACCCCACTGGTAATGACGCTGCGGTGCAATCTTTTTGATTCCTCCGCTGTAATGCCTCCAATTACGAATATTATTACAGTGGGATTGTCGAGAGGATGTTTCGTGGTTCGAGCTTTCTTGCTCGTTAGTATACTGAAACAATAAAAAAATATTATGAAGATAAATCATAGCCAAAAAAAACAGAAGTTTATGATACATTTCATAAAAGAATTTGCCTTATGAATTTAGGGTTCTAAAATTTTGACGTTACGAATATGAATTTATTATGCGAAATGAAAAATTATTCAAATAGTATTATAGGCGTTACTAATGCGTGAGACAATACATACTTAATTGTAAATAAGATTAATTATTTACAATTGCAGTGGGACTTGTAAATGGATTGATGTTGATAAAGAAGAAAGAGAGGTAAAGATTTCTCTAATATTAGTATTATTATAAGTTGTGAGTCGTATTAACACATTTATTTAATATTAGTAGAGATTATTTATTAAACAAACTCCACTTACTTTAGACCACTTCGTAACAAGTCCTTAATGCCCTCGTTTTTGTACCTGAGATCAACTAATTCTGGTCTTTCCGTGTCGACCATATCGTCGACCAGCTGATGTATAACCCCTTTGTACTCGTGCCCGACGCCAGTCTCACACGGTTTTAGCACGGAGTTGTATCTGAGAAAGAACATTGGGTATTAAACATTGAACCCGTTGGTGGGTGTGGCAACAAAACCTGGTTCAAGTTCAGCCAAATCAAAGGACATTTCCTTTGTGTTGTTCAATCTTTGTATCAATAATAATGTCACCTAAAGTTAGTGACTTTTTATCACCCTTTTTTTTCTACTTCCTGGCCACTTACATGTATAAAATTTTGAGTAATTTTCGAATTCGATTTTCCTGTACTATTCTTACATTGGTTCGTTCCCTCATCACTCTCATCAAAATTCTTAAAACGAGAGAACATGCTTATAAATCATTACCCTCATTTAATTCCAAACTTCACATGATTTACTGTTAAATCATAAAGATAAGGCCCTTCTAGGGTGAGTGTTGTCTGGTGTGTGTTTAATGAGAAGTTTTTTATACCAATTGCAATTTTTTTATAACATTTTATTGTTTACAGTTTTTCATTTCTACTTTTAAATAAGTTATGTGAACCGAACCTTTCCTTTCGAAAAGGCTAGAACTAGCTAGATTAGGCTAGTCTTGAATAGGCCCAAATGTAGTTTTGGGAAAACACAGATAGTGTATTCCATTTCTTTGTCGTAAGTATTAGGACGGACGAAGTAAAGCACCTCGTGTGAATAGAAGTTCTGAAACCATCGCGAAATTCCATTCTTCCAATAATACTTACTTCACCAAAATCTTCCTCATCTGTGCAACATCCTTCAATCGCGCCATAATATTTTTCGCTATCTCATCACACTCCTCCGGTGTGACCATCTTTCCGCTTTCCTCAAACAAACTCCTATGATCCTCGAAAATGGCAACACTTAATGTTTCCATGAGACTGTCCTCATGACTCTTGGAGAATGAAACTTCAGTACCAATAAGTGAATATACGTGGACGATCATTGCGAGTAAGTTCTCCAAGGGAAGGTTACGATCTTTACGGGATTTAATTAGCTGACTTATCTGTAATACACATATATACATAATAATGAATGTATCGTACATTTATAACGATAAAGGATAAAGCTCATACATAAATTTAAGTTAAAAAAAATCCCGGAAGAAATAACGATCTAAATGATTCTAATTCGATAAGCTCTTTCGGTCTATCATAGTTACTTAATAGATTCAGGCGTCACTTAACGGAAATCCATGATAATAAAAATGGAACAAAATTTATTTGCTACTCTGCAAAACCAGTGGAGGTTAAATCGTGCAAAATAGCTACGCTTATTTTGAATATTATGTACACATATTCGGCAAATTAAGAAAAAAAGTGGGTTTGCCGAGTAGAAAAGTAATTTACTTCAATTTTCATTAGTTACCACTACATTTTATATCAAATCTAGAGGCACTAAAATCACATCAGTACGTAAACTTGGCCTATACATACACCTTTAAAGGATTACACAAAATATAGTTAAACAAACAGGATCCAATCCACATCCACTAACTTTCGAGATATGGCAGTTTGAAGTTTAAAATTGTTTCTCATCTTGCTTTATTTTCAAAACTTATAATGTCATGTAACTCCAGACATTTATTTATGATTATATGTTGGATTTTTTTTTTGTTGGTCTAAGAGGTTAGACTTTAGGAAGCGTTTGGTACATATAACTCATTGTTTGATAATTTTGTGGAATGTATCCTTTTTGCTTAAGTACGTCCAATTTATGAAATATATTGTAAAGAGAGTTCAACCAAAACTGAAGAAAATGTTCACGAACATCAGAAAATTGACAATAAATAGTTGGCAAAATAGAACAAGGAAATCAAATGTAACAACGCAGAGGTGTGATATTAATACCTGATGAAGAACACTAGTAGAGTCTCGACTAGCAGCAAGGTTTTGAAGGACTTGTATCTCTAAGCTTGTAAGCAAGTCGAACTGAGCGCGCTTCGGCGATTTTAACGTTTGAACTACGCCTATTGCCTGCTGCAGGATGCCCAGGTGTTTGACGATTACATCGTAGTTGCCTGAAACAACCAGACACAAAATTTTGAAAATATAGATAACGAAAACGAAAGTGTACATAAAAATGTTGAGATTTTCAATGCAATGTAATGATACACTTGACCTATAGCGCTAGCAATCACTTGCGCGCCATACAGTCTAGACTGAAAGTAATTTTTTCTTAGGAATCAAACATAAGAAATTGATACACACCTTTGGAAGCTGAAATAATCTTTTCTACACTCTGTGGAGTGACTTTCAACAAAGTCTTCGGTCCAGGTGACTTCTGTACATCTAGTTTCGACAGTTTGTTGTAAAGGTCGAACATGACTTCCTTCTGTGATTTATTGATCATGTAATCCAATGTCTGGATGCACGCTTCATCTGCATGGTAAAGGCAGCCGGGACTAAGTTGCATGTCTTCAGGGTGTGATATTCTGGAAGCAAATATTTACATTGGTCTTATAATAAACCATAAAAATTTGATTTACTATTGCATATATTAAAATATTTAGCATCGGAATAAAGAACATAACATACACATTAGCCTCGCAAAGCGCCGACATATCAACAGCGACGTCGTTGGCATGTCCAGGGAACCGCGGCAACACGGCCATCACTTTGTCCAAGACTGACTCAACATTGTGGCTCGTTATCGCGCACAGATCTAGTGTGCGATCCACTAAGATCAGTGATGCGGGGTTTGAGCAGTTCTAAAAATATATTGGGTATGGGAAACTAAATAATTTTTCCGGATTTAATCGAGTATATTTGTTTTGTCAAAGAAACCGACGTTCGGGCCCTTTACAGGTCCCATGGTTACAGTGGACCTGTAAAGGGCTCGAAACGTAGGTTTGTTTAAAAAACAAATATACGTGATTTAAATCCGGAAAAATAAAGACTTTCATTTCCCATGTGTAACATTCGCGAAAACCTAAGAACTCGGAAATATATTGGATAGTCTTTGAAATAATTATAAATAATGATCTACTTACTACCTAAGTAACATATTTTAATTCTTTGATAAGTATTTAACAAATCTACTGATCTAAAAATCTGCTGATGTCAAAATTCAAGCTACAAAGCCATATAAGAAAACATGAAACTGAATATAAAATAATAAAATTATATACATGTTCATTAAGAAAAGCATCAAATAATGTCACTGAGTAACCTAAATCTAAACAATTAGAGCAATCTTTGAATAGGTAAGAAAACAATGTCAAACACATTAAATATGTCGACAGTACAGTTATCATTATTCATACAATTAACGTGAAAATGTTTAGAGAATAGTACTGTACTTATTTTCTAATTATGTTAAATATGAATTCCAATTAATTGTAAAGTACAAACAGTGCAAACAAACTACACAAACAGAAAATTGTTTGTATAGTCTGTTCCAATCCATTTTGAACAAAAAGTAAACAAACCTGTTTGGTTAAAATTCTAAAGCAATCACTCAGTAAATCGAATAAATAACACTTTCACGTATATTTCGAAGATTTCACCATTTTTGTTTTCAACATTATACAATTGAATAGAATAGATAGAATAGAATAGAATAGAATAGCATCGTAAAATCGTATTTGAAAAATGGTAGGCCAAAAGTGAGGTTATTATTCATTTATACTTTTATGACTTGCCTATGGTTGCTAGTGCAGTTCGAAAAAAAAAACATTCAGATCAATCAATTAAAGTTTAGTAATCGATTATTAAATCGAACATTTCAATTGCAATCAAATGAGTATCTAAGTGTAAGGATTTGAACGAGGATTTAAATTGAAATTTTAAATATGCTTATATAGGTTATGTAAGGAAAACCGCTAGCATGACTGAATTGAACAAATCGTTTTATTAAATTAATTAATCGATTTGTAGTTGGCGTTACAATTGGCCATCACTAAACCATCTATGGTCGGGTCAGTGACTTGTTTGTTTACTTTTTGTTCAAAATGGATTGAAACGAAGTATAACACCGCTTTTGTTTTACAAACAATTGCCTTCTGCTGCATAATTACTTAAATACTATATTAAATAAATACAGCTTGTGAATAAGTGTTTTTTGCTTACTTCTTGTAAACACAAATGACAAAAGTCAAATGTAACGGTGACTACACTAAATTATTCAAAATTTGTAAAATTCTACTGGTTAGTTTACAACATAAATATCTCCTGGCTGTCAATGAATGTGGCTCTTTGTTGTGTATGGTTGACAACAACTATAATACAAGGTTGATAACCTCTGGTAAATTAGTAATCCCAAGAGTCACTAACTACTATGGAGATAGGACCTTAAAGAAACATATTCCATGCCTATTAAACACAAAAAACAAACAAACTTACTAGAGGTTATTAGAGATGAAACTAAAAAGTGTGGATTATTTCACAAATTTTTGTTAAATAGTAATTATTTTATTTAAGTATTTTTGTTGTAAACTGTATATACAGTTTTATAGGACTATGTTTATCAAAGTAAAATGAACTTTTTTTAAATTATAAATTAAAAAAATTAAAATTTTCAAACTATCCTAATAAAAATAATATTACCTTTCTCCTAGCCAAGCAAACAGGTGAATTTTGCAGTACACCAGCAACTAATGAGCTATAGGCACCCATATAAAACACATCCTCTTTTAAATTCATTGAATCCATCAAGCCATTCAGTCCGCTGGCTAATCTCCTTACTTCAGACCTTTCCTGACTAGTTAAGGTAAATAGGTCTAATGATGTGGAATCCGGGATGAGCTTGCCGTCATAAGTTGGGTATACCTTTGTAAATGGAGGTGTGAGGAATACAACATTTGTTGGTGTTATTGTGAAGATAGGTATGTGAACTATTTCTGCTGCACATTGCTGAAAATATAAAGTGATTGGCAATTTATAATCATTCTTCTAGTGTAGTTATACAAGCTACATTTCAATTGTAAAATAACAGGTAGAATGCAGTAGTTGTCAGCATTGTATTTCCACACTGATTGCACGCTAGCAGCACACCAGCTATATTACCAGTTGGCAGTTGTGTTGCAGGTTTCCCATGATTCAGTTGGGTTACATCTTATATCCTTCTTGTAAAACAATTTATTTTCAAACTGCGTATTATTGCTCAAAATGCATACATTTGTATTTCAATATTCTGTCATGACTATGAAGTAAAATATAAATATAAACAACTTTTTTAGACAACTTCAAGCATACCTTTTTCCCAATCCATTCAATCAACATGGCTTCCAACTGCTTAGTGGCCTCGGCAGGCCCTCTCCCAGCAGTGATCACATCACTCACATCTTTCCCTTCATTTATCTCCAAAAGCACAACATCTAGACTAATGGTTGATATCAAAATGCAATGTGCAAAGTCACTGTTACGTATTATCTCATGAATAGTACGTAGCTGTGTACTTGTTGTTTGCGTTATGAACACTGCCTTCTTGTGTTCTTTCCTAGAAAACTAAACAGACAATGCAATTTGCTCGTGTTATTGCTTTCAAATTCGAAGAGATAATATAGCGACTACCTAACCTTTGTTTGTTTTGTTAGTCTGTTTCATGGAATGAGGAAGTTTTGGATTACTCTGTACAATGGGTCTATCAATTTGTATACATAACTATTACAACTAAGAGTTGCTGGAAGATTTTATAAAGATGCTGTCATTAGCATAAGCAAAATTCATTTTACCTCAAAAGGTGATAAGCTCTTGACCGAAACGGCTCCTCCTGATAGGAGGTTGAAAAGTCCACCATCCCAATGTAAGCATTCAGCACTGGCTTCGTCCAAGAACACCACAGCTCCTATAATACGATTGTAGACCTCGGACCACCAAGCCTTGCCAAACTCCTTTATTGAAGCAGAAGCCATTGCAAATATTCTTTTTTTATAATTTACGTGTTCCCATGACTTTATTTACAGAAGATGCAGGGAGTAGGGAGATCATAGGTTTGCGCCATATAT